AAACATGCTGCAAAAAATATTCATAGCCTCATATGTACATATTTTATATAGTATATAAATAACCATAGTACATAAATAATTTTGTATTCTCTCTTTTCCACATATTATATTAATACATTTTGGAAGTTTCAGAAACTCATTTTTAGTTTTGCCATTATAGATAAAGCAAATACATATTATCCTTAATAACTTAGATGTCATAAGGCCGTGTCATTTTGATTAACTGTGATTCTAACCTTTGTGGGTATAGGATATATTATAGCTGTCTAGACAAATCTTCTGGCAGGTTACAGAATTCTGCAGAGCCAATGAAATAAGAACAAAAATCAATATAAATATTTCTTATCCTTAGCAAACTATTTTCATCAGTGACAAACCAGTCCCATATTTAGAGTTGTCAAGAAAAAACTTAAGGTCAATATCTCCATGATAGCAAATGTGCAAGAATATGCTATTAAATTCCTAGAAATGTAATTGCTGGTTTAAAGAATACATGCATCAAGGCCAGACACAGTGGCTTGCACCTGTAACCCCAGCACTTTGGGAGGCCAAAGCAGGAGGATTTCTTGAGCCTAGGAGTTCAAGACCAGCCTAGGCAACATAGCAAGACCCCATCTCTACAAAAAATAAGAAAGAAAAAAATTAGTTGAGCATGGTGATGTGCACCTGTAGTCCTAGCTATTTGGGAGGCTAAAGCAGGAGAATCGCTTGAGCCCAGGAGTTTGAGGTTACAGTGATCTATGGCCATGCCACTGTGCTCTAGCCAGGGTGACAGAGCAAGACCCTGTCTCTAAAATGAACAAACAAAAAAGAATACATACATCAAGTGAAACATAAAGTCACACTATCCTCCAAAGAGGTTGTACATAACACCTGTCTTCCTCAAGTTTTCACTATTTGTCCATTACCAACAAATGTTATCATATGGTCAAAATTTGATCTGGAGCATCAATTCTTGTATTTCATGTCTTAACATTCTGAGAAGTCAGTCAAAAATTATTCCCTGCACTGCTTTTAGACAAACAAGTCTTTAGGGAAAGTTCGGTTCCATCAGTATCTTTTTCACCAACATTCTCTAAGAATTAACTGTCGGGTTCTGATGGACACCAGTGAACAACTGGAAGACCTGGGAATTTAAAATAAGGGTAGCCCTGATTGCACAGAATCATTAGTTCATGCATTTAATGACGAACCAGCTTGACCATGCGGATCTGATTTGTTTTTAGTGTCTCTAGACTATAGTGATAGTTAATAAAAATAAAAATGGATCTCCAGATTTTTCACTGGCTTACTCACTCTGTGATTGCTTAAGGCACAGAAAGGGAGCTTCTAGGGCAGAAAAACAAAGGCTTCTCTGGCTCTTTCTGGACTATAGATCTTAAATTTTGTAGCACTTTGGAGGTGATTTTTGCTACCCAAAGAATTTATCATAAACCAAGCAGCATTTCTCAGTGTAATAAGTCTCATTTCTTTAAAGGTAGTATCACTGCGCTGAATCAAAGACAGGCCCAGGTGTTTGCCGCACTGTATCCATCCCTTACACAGAGTCCAGCATAAGAGACTGTACAGCTCATTCATTAACTCAACAAAAATGTATAAGTACCCACTGCGCCAGACTCTAGTCCAAGTTCTCAGATAGTGATGTGAACAAAACAGACAAAAATTACTGTCCTCCTGAAGCTTACACTCTAGTAAAGGGGAAAAAGACAATAAACTGAATAAGTAAAATATCAAATATATAGGATGGTAAGAAGTACTATAGAAAAAAAATATAATTTAGAAATTAAAATGGAAAGTCCAGACAAGATGGATGGATTATATTAATGTCAATATCCTGGTTGCGGTATCATTCAATAGTTTTGCAAAATGCTCCCATTGGGGAAAACTGGGTAAAGGGCTTTCTCTGTATTATTTCTTACCACTGCATGTGAACCTACAATTATTTCATAAAAATGTCCATAAATTTAAATGGAATGTCCAATTTTAAATAGGGCTATCAGGTAAAGTCTTACTGAAAAGGTAACACAGAGTTAAGACCTAAAGTCAGTGAAAGAGCAAGACGTGGTAACATGGAGCAACGTGCTCCAGACGGAGGGAGCAGAAGAACCAGGCAGAACATGCCTGCAGGGTCCAGCCAGGAAACTGCTATCAACAAAGAGTGTAGCCAGAGAGGAGTGGATGGAAAGAGTAGAAGGAGGGTCAATGTGCAGACTTTGGCTTTTACTCTGGGTGAGGGGAAAGCAATTGGAGTATTCTGGGCAGAGGAGCAACACAATCTGACTTGATGTTTTATTGGTGTCATTCTGGCTGCTGTGTGGATATCAGACAGTAGAAACCAACAAATGAATCAGAGCATCAGGACGTGGATGGCATTCTGCTGAATCACTCGAATGCCAAAATAAAACGCCCTGTCCACTCCACTGACTTGTACCAGATTCCAAAATGAAACTCAGTGAGTTTTCTCTGACTTATAAGAAACATTCTGAATGTTCCCCAACCCAGAAAACTACAAGATGAATTAAAATATCTGAACACTGTGCATAAACTCCTCCCGTGAAGCTTTGCTTACATTTTTTAAACCATTAATATTAAAATTCCACCAAGAGTAGCTCCATGAAGTTATTATATAATGGGTAAAATGTTCCTTTGAAAAGCTATGTTTTTTTTCTATCCCCAGAAGCATTTTTTAAAAAATTATTCTGTTTTTTATGTTATAAAAGTACCTCCTGAATTTGACATTTGGAGACTTACACATGGTTTTTAAGCATTTGATGGTATAGTGAAAAATAAAAAATAAAGAGAAGAAAAAGTCTCTCCCTTTGAGACTTAAATTTTAAAAGGAGGCCAGGCGCGTTGGCTCACACCTGTAATCCTAGCACTCTGGGAGGCCGAGGCGGGCGGATTGTTTGAGCTCAGGAGTTCGAAACCAGCCTGAGCAAGAGCGAGACCCCGTCTCTACTAAAATTAGAAAGAAATTAATTGGACAACTAAAAATATACAGAAAAAAAAATTAGCCAGGCATGGTGGCGCATGCCTGTAGTCCCAGCTACTCAGGAGGCTGAAGCAGGAGGATCGCTTGAGCCCAGAGTTTGAGGTTGCTGTGAGCTAGGATGATGCCACGGCACTCTAGCTCGGGCAACACAGTGAGACTCTGTCTCAAAAAAAAAAAATAAAAATAAAAATAATAAAAAAATAAAAAGAAAGTAATAACTGATAATTTAGATGAAGACTCTGCAGGAGGCTGGTTTTCATCAGCAGCTGTTCTTCAAGACTGGTAACAACTTTAAATTATTGAAAATAAGGAATGTAAAATGTGGCTTATATAAGATTTTGGCAACTAGAAATTTCTATTAACTGGTACCTTTATAAACCCAAAGTAGAATGATAATTCATATTCAAAATGCTAATGTGAAGAACTACAAGATCCTGAAACATCTTCTGAATCATCTAAGAAAAATTATGTTCAATACCGAATTTTGAATATGTTATTAATTTAGATGACCATAGGCTTTTAAATTGTGTGTCGCATGTTTGGTGATAAGCTATTAACCAGAATATTTCACTACTCAGAACTACCTATTTTCCTCCATCTGTGTCGATCTACTATATACAATTTCAAACATAAAATTTCTAGACTCAAGCTAGAAAATCTGGCCATTGAATATTTGTAATAAAAATTTTTCTTAAAACTGATCCCTCTAGGCCAGGCATGGTGGCATGTGCCAGTAATCCCAGCTACTTGAGAGGCTGAGGCGGGAGGATCACCTGAGTCCAGCAGTTTGAGGCTGCAGTCAGCTATGATCGTGCCACTGCACTCCAGCCTGGGCAACGTAGTGAGACCCCATCTCTATAAAAAAAAATAACCAATCATTCTAGAGACGATCATACAATTTCTGTAAGGAACTTTAGAGGTTATCTAACCAGTCTCAATAACTCCACACTATACATATGAGAAAACTGATACCAAAAAAGGTAAATACATGTCATTAATGGTAGAACTGGAATGAAATCCTGGGTTTCTTGATTTCTAGAGCAGCATGCTTTCCCTCTATCACACTCAAACATGTACCATTTTATTGTTTATAAATTATAATACTAAAGAATACAACAGTATTCCAGTATATCCTGTTATTTGGTCTACCAACATCCTGGTATTTTTGTTAGCGTATTACCATTATTTCAATATTTTTTGAAAATCTAAATAATTTCCATTTTGAGATCAAAATCAATGATTCATTGTATGTACAAAGTTCAACTCTCAACAGATCCATACCTATAAAAGTCACTATAAATAACAATGTTGTTGTATTATACAAAGCTTCTCTTGCAAGAATAATTCTTATCCTAGGACAAAGACTTTCCAAAGAAGTAGAAGAATAGAAGAGAACTCAAATGAATATGTGTTTGAGATTAAAGTTTTAAATGCCATCTGTATTACTTTGGACAAGTTAAATAAACTCCTCATTCAAATACAACAGAAATTTATTTCTTGTTTACATAATAGTTCAGAACAGGTGTTCAGGTCAGCTGGCAGCTTTTCTCCATGCATTGATTCAGAAACCCAGGTGCCTTCTATTCTGTGGCTTCCCCATGATCATGTTATCATCTTCATTCAGCCAGGTGAAAAGAATGTGGAGGAAGGGTTCCCATTCTCCCCAAATCCTCAGTCCAGAAGTGGCAGACATCACTTCTATTCATCAGGCAGCTGACTATAATCCCATTAGTATGGAAGAAGAAAAGAATGAATTTTGCAGGAAGCCAGTGGTCTCTGCTACCATCATCCAAATACAAGACCTCCTATTGTTTTAGTTTTGCTGGGTTTTTTCAACATGTGACAATTACAAGTAGTAATAACACTCCAGGTTGAAATTAGGTCATAATGAATGGCAGTAAAAAAATTCTGTCTTACAATTTCCTATTAGTGAGAGGCAATGGTACCCCAGTTTGGTTCCACACAATAATTTGGTTGTTAGGGGAAGGAGGGATTAAGAACCAGCCATCCCAGCTTCGCGAAGGCTCTCCGCGCGCCGCGGCCCGCAGGCACCCGGCACGCGCCCTCCCCGCCGCCAAGATGCCCAAGAGGAAGGTCAGCTCGGCCGAAGGCGCGGTGAAGGAAGAGCCCAAGAGGAGATCTGCGCGGCTGTCAGCTAAACCTGCTCCTGCGAAAGTGGAAACGATGCCCAAAAAGGCAGCAGCAAAGGATAAATCTTCAGACAAAAAAGTGCAACCAAAAGGGAAAAGGGGAGCAAAGGGAAAACAGGCCGAAGGGGCTAACCAAGAAACTAAAGAAGATTTACCTGCAGAAAATGGAGAAACTAAAACTGAGGAGAGTCCAGCCTCTGATGAAGCAGGAGAGAAAGAAGCCAAGTCTGATTAATATCATATACCATGTCTTAATCAGTGGTCCTTGTCTCCTTTCTTGTACAATCCAAAGGAATATTTTTATCAACTATTTTGTAAATGCAAGTTTTTTAGTAGCTCTAGAAACATTTTTTAAGAAGGAGGGAATCCCACCTCATCCCATTTTTTAAGTGTAAATGCTTTTTTTTAAGAGGTGAAATCATTCGCTGGTTGTTTATTTTTTGGT